AAAACTGACTCAGTTCTTTGTTTACTCCATATCCAAAGTAAGTTAGCTTGTATTTCATATACAGTATTTGAAAAAAATAAATTAAATTTTTAAAAGTGAATAATTTTACAATTGATAATTTTCCATTTCCAATGGATTTAATGTCATAAAAAGCTTTGGTTTCTTTTGGCAAAATGCCACCATAAAATGGACAATTGCTAGATATAATATAACCCTCAATTGTAGTCTTTTGATCATGACAGTTTTCTGATCTTTCATTTCTGTCAATATTTTCAAGAGAAAATTTAGAACAAAGGTATGTGTATAGACAATTTTGTATCAGTTTTTACCAAAACATTATTTCTTAGGTTTACATTTATTTTATGACTGACATGAACTGAAAATAACAAGTGAAAAAATTCTTATCCAGGTAGTTATTGGCAGTTTGCCAACAACAAGTGATACACAGGTGGTAGTCTTACCTCAAAGTAAGCTTTATTCCAAACAAAAGATATGACTCATGGGAATGATTGAAAAATGAATTGAACAGTAATGCTAGGAAACAGATTAGACAAACTTTAGAAACCATAAAACAACTAAATATTATTGAACAATCAGTTATAAGAATAAAAAATCTGCTACATTTACAGCAAAGGAATTATAGTAGAAAAACAAAAGGATAAAAACTAAAGATATATTCAGTATTGTGAAAACAAAGCAATATTTAACATAAGTTATTTAAAAAGTGAATAAACATGTATTTTTCTAGTCTCATATAATATATCAAAGTTTTACGTAATGTGTTATCAAAAATTTTGATCTGAATAATAAATTTATTATTATTAAAAAAAATAATAATAAGGCTTACAAAGAGAAAAATTCTTTATTACTGATATCAATATTTTTGTACATGATTATAAAATATTAAAATAAATGTAGAAATCCATTTACTATAGTAACACAGTTTTCTTCATATAGAAATTGATTGGAAAAATTGAGATATTAAACCTTGATAAAAAAAAAAATTAAATATTTAAGTTATGAATAATAGAATGCAATTTGAAATATAACCTACAAAAGAGAAGATCAATCTTCTAATCAAAATTAAAAAATTAACTCATCATATAAAAATAATTTTTATTCAAATGCATTTTAATTTTACATATAACTTTTGAAAAAGTATATTGAATATTCTAAGTAATCAATTTTGTTTAATTATAAAATAATGGATATGAATTAATAAAAAAAAATTGATTTATCCATCCAAGGAATTTTTCAAAAGTTTATGGATTAGCTTTATAAAAGATGAATGAAAAATAAGCTGTAAATGTAATGAAAACAATTTTGAAATATATAAGAACTACTATGTTCAAACATTATAAAACAATCTTAGCATTTATAAATAGAACTATTCCAATTTGAAATTCAGAATTCAAGTTTTCTCTGAAAAAAAGACATAAAAAAATTACTGATATCAGTAAAAGATGCATAATTCCTTTAGGGAAAAATATGATCACTAAAGCAAAGTTTCTGCCAGAGATCCAGAAGTAACAAAACAGACTCCAACAAGATAATCACAAGTCCCTATAGAGATACTGAGCATTGAATATTTGGTCCAATCTGTTCCTGCATCCATATTCAAGTCAATACTCTGAATTATGTAATAATTTAATCTATTGTTCATCAATGAATAATACTTAATTTTAATTGCAAAATAGTTTTCAATTGCAATGTTAAACAGATTTTAAATTATAACTTTTGTTCAGAAATTTTAGAATAAATCCTTAGTTTATCTTAAAAAACTGTCATTAAATGTAAATTACTAATAATGAAAAAATAAATTTAATTAGTTCTTTTAAATGTTTCATAAATTTTTTAATTATTATTTTTTAACTTATTTTTATAGAATTTTTCCATAACCCAGCTTAAAATTTTTTTACAAGCAAATACGTTAACTTTGAATTTGGTTATGAAAAACTAAAATCAATTAATATAATTAATTAAAATGTTTTTAATGTTAAGCTGTTATCAAAATTATTTTTTATACTATTTAAGGTGAATAAAATTAAATTTGTATACATTCATCAGTTAAAAATAAAATATGAATGTAATTATGGTAAATATATTCCCTAATTTTAATTTTTAAGATTAAAATAAAGTTTGGAATTTGCAATGTTGCATTTATATATGTATATACTTTTTTGCTTACTGAAGTTGAAGTTTCAAATATATTTTACTTCTTTAAAATGAATAGGCATTGAACATATCTAAAAAAATTTAAGTAAAAGAGTGACTGACTGAGGAAGAAAGGAGATGGACATATACAAAAAGTTGGTTTCTCTTGGGATATTATATTCCAGGCTCTACTGAATATAAGATGGCACATTATGTATCAAATTCCCAAATTTAATGTAAGTGTCTTTTTCCTCCAATTTAACAGAAATAAGAAAAATCACTATTTTATTTCATTATATTTGGAATTTAATAAATTTATAATTTATACAACACATAAAGAATTCATTACAGTCTTCCTATTAACTATTATTACATTATTATTAATTCTTTACATTAAATTTTTAAAATAATACATATTTAATAATAGTCATGTATCTGTCTATACTTATATACAAAAGAAAGAAAAAGATCTTGATTCAAGAAAAATAATTATACTTTTGATATACTTGGAGTCAATTTGGAACAAAAGAGATTGTATTATTATGTGTTAATAAAATTAATAAATATATTAACTGTATTCAATTTGTATTTATAACAATATTTTTATAGTCTCTTATATTTAAAAAATTTTCAATAAACTTTTTTCTTTTAAAAATGAGATGGAACATAATTTCAAACTAATTTTCACTTCTTTTCAACTTCAAAAATGTAATCAAAAATTATCAATTACTAATATTAAATAAATTCTTAAATTTTCATTCCAACATACTTTTAAAATAAAATTTATTTATTTATTTTTAATTATGAAAAGTCCTTTAATTTATTCCATTTAATCCTATTTTTTATTTTAAAGTTAATACTGTATAATTATCAATGATAACTCAATCTAAGGTACTACCAAAATCTCAAAAATGTATTACAGAATTTTTAACATAACTTATATTTAGTTAAAACCATAGTAAATTATAAATAAAAAAAAATTCAAGAGAAAAATCCATTTAAAGATATCCAAGTTTGTCATATAAAGATAATAAGAACATGTTTATCAGAAAAGTTTATAAGATAAATGCAGTTTTGTAAAATGTTAATATTTAATGAAAACTAGACCTAAAACTATTCAAAGAACTTTATTATTTTTGTATTTTAGATATAAATTCAATTGAATCATTTTAACTGTACCAAAAACAGATATGTACTGTACCATACATTCATAGATACAATATTTCGTAAAAAACATTGCATTTTATATCCAATCAACATAAAATTTTATCATATTTTTATAAACTGTTTAAAAATATATTTTTTATAAGTATATAAAAAAATTTGTGTTTAAGCTATATCAAATTACATTGTAAAAACAAAATATAACTGAACAAATAAAATTTCCCTACTACTTTTAACCACAAATTATTCACATTTAAAATTCTTTATTTTTGTTGATCTCTTTCCCTACTGTAATATGAACATAAAAGAAATCAATGTAAACTTCAAATTTTTTTTTCTTTACTTTTCTTTAATAAAAAATATAAATGTTATTTTTCTTTCCAAATATATCATATATTCATTAAAATCTACTCTACATACTGAATATTCATTGACTGTAATTTCTTATCAATTTTCTTTAATTTACATACTTATAAATTATATAAGTAATATGATAGAACTGATTATACTTTTTGCAATTTAATTGAAATTTCAAATGCAAAATTTTGTTCTTTTCAATAAACAAAACTTTAGATTATTTATAATTACAAATTCCTGTTCTTTATAGTAAAGAAGTTAATAAAACAGTTAGTAATGTAAATTTTTGTTTTAAAGTATATAAATTGTTATAAATTATGGATATTTTATAACTTGATTATAAATATTGCTCATGATCAGAATAACATATTGGCTAGACATGTTCATTATAATTACAGAAAAAGCACATTTTTAAATTATAAATTATTTAAAAATAACATTATTTTTTTTTAAATTAGCAACTTGTATTTCAACTTTTAATGTTATGGAAATTAAATGTAAAACAAAAATATATATTATTAAAACTTTCTGAAAATTATTTAGTTCACATTAATTTTTTTTATTTTATAATTTAAATATTATTACATTTTTAGGAATTAAAACTAAAACCATTATCAATAAATTTTTAGTGAAAGCTAGAAGCAACAAAATAACTAATTTTTAATTAGTTAAATAAATTATTTAATTAAATTTTGGATTGTAAAAATAATAATAGTAATTTTTTTTTTTACTTCATTCCATGTTGATCTGCATATGAATTTCTAATAAATGAGTATGTTAATGAAAGTTCTCTTCAGATTTCAGAAACATACAAATGATTATAGTTAATTTTCTCTATTTCATTATACACTAATTTCTTACATTTAGCCATCAAAACTATAAATTCTCATCAAACTAACCATCTAGGTACCATTATCTTGTACAGCCAGCATTGCCATAGTAACACCTATTGGTGTCAAAGTCAACCATGCTTTGCTTGTAGTCGATTAGCAAATTAATACTATTGTGAGCAGCTGTACTTTTTTGCTTACTGAAGTTGAAGTTTCAAATATATTTTACTTCTTTAAAATGAATAGGCATTGAACATATCTAAAAAAATTTAAGTAAAAGAGTGACTGACTGAGGAAGAAAGGAGATGGACATATACAAAAAGTTGGTTTCTCTTGGGATATTATATTCCAGGCTCTACTGAATATAAGATGGCACATTATGTATCAAATTCCCAAATTTAATGTAAGTGTCTTTTTCCTCCAATTTAACAGAAATAAGAAAAATCACTATTTTATTTCATTATATTTGGAATTTACATTAATTTCCAANGGTTTCTCTTGGGATATTATATTCCAGGCTCTACTGAATATAAGATGGCACATTATGTATCAAATTCCCAAATTTAATGTAAGTGTCTTTTTCCTCCAATTTAACAGAAATAAGAAAAATCACTATTTTATTTCATTATATTTGGAATTTAATAAATTTATAATTTATACAACACATAAAGAATTCATTACAGTCTTCCTATTAACTATTATTACATTATTATTAATTCTTTACATTAAATTTTTAAAATAATACATATTTAATAATAGTCATGTATCTGTCTATACTTATATACAAAAGAAAGAAAAAGATCTTGATTCAAGAAAAATAATTATACTTTTGATATACTTGGAGTCAATTTGGAACAAAAGAGATTGTATTATTATGTGTTAATAAAATTAATAAATATATTAACTGTATTCAATTTGTATTTATAACAATATTTTTATAGTCTCTTATATTTAAAAAATTTTCAATAAACTTTTTTCTTTTAAAAATGAGATGGAACATAATTTCAAACTAATTTTCACTTCTTTTCAACTTCAAAAATGTAATCAAAAATTATCAATTACTAATATTAAATAAATTCTTAAATTTTCATTCCAACATACTTTTAAAATAAAATTTATTTATTTATTTTTAATTATGAAAAGTCCTTTAATTTATTCCATTTAATCCTATTTTTTATTTTAAAGTTAATACTGTATAATTATCAATGATAACTCAATCTAAGGTACTACCAAAATCTCAAAAATGTATTACAGAATTTTTAACATAACTTATATTTAGTTAAAACCATAGTAAATTATAAATAAAAAAAAATTCAAGAGAAAAATCCATTTAAAGATATCCAAGTTTGTCATATAAAGATAATAAGAACATGTTTATCAGAAAAGTTTATAAGATAAATGCAGTTTTGTAAAATGTTAATATTTAATGAAAACTAGACCTAAAACTATTCAAAGAACTTTATTATTTTTGTATTTTAGATATAAATTCAATTGAATCATTTTAACTGTACCAAAAACAGATATGTACTGTACCATACATTCATAGATACAATATTTCGTAAAAAACATTGCATTTTATATCCAATCAACATAAAATTTTATCATATTTTTATAAACTGTTTAAAAATATATTTTTTATAAGTATATAAAAAAATTTGTGTTTAAGCTATATCAAATTACATTGTAAAAACAAAATATAACTGAACAAATAAAATTTCCCTACTACTTTTAACCACAAATTATTCACATTTAAAATTCTTTATTTTTGTTGATCTCTTTCCCTACTGTAATATGAACATAAAAGAAATCAATGTAAACTTCAAATTTTTTTTTCTTTACTTTTCTTTAATAAAAAATATAAATGTTATTTTTCTTTCCAAATATATCATATATTCATTAAAATCTACTCTACATACTGAATATTCATTGACTGTAATTTCTTATCAATTTTCTTTAATTTACATACTTATAAATTATATAAGTAATATGATAGAACTGATTATACTTTTTGCAATTTAATTGAAATTTCAAATGCAAAATTTTGTTCTTTTCAATAAACAAAACTTTAGATTATTTATAATTACAAATTCCTGTTCTTTATAGTAAAGAAGTTAATAAAACAGTTAGTAATGTAAATTTTTGTTTTAAAGTATATAAATTGTTATAAATTATGGATATTTTATAACTTGATTATAAATATTGCTCATGATCAGAATAACATATTGGCTAGACATGTTCATTATAATTACAGAAAAAGCACATTTTTAAATTATAAATTATTTAAAAATAACATTATTTTTTTTTAAATTAGCAACTTGTATTTCAACTTTTAATGTTATGGAAATTAAATGTAAAACAAAAATATATATTATTAAAACTTTCTGAAAATTATTTAGTTCACATTAATTTTTTTTATTTTATAATTTAAATATTATTACATTTTTAGGAATTAAAACTAAAACCATTATCAATAAATTTTTAGTGAAAGCTAGAAGCAACAAAATAACTAATTTTTAATTAGTTAAATAAATTATTTAATTAAATTTTGGATTGTAAAAATAATAATAGTAATTTTTTTTTTTACTTCATTCCATGTTGATCTGCATATGAATTTCTAATAAATGAGTATGTTAATGAAAGTTCTCTTCAGATTTCAGAAACATACAAATGATTATAGTTAATTTTCTCTATTTCATTATACACTAATTTCTTACATTTAGCCATCAAAACTATAAATTCTCATCAAACTAACCATCTAGGTACCATTATCTTGTACAGCCAGCATTGCCATAGTAACACCTATTGGTGTCAAAGTCAACCATGCTTTGCTTGTAGTCGATTAGCAAATTAATACTATTGTGAGCAGCTGTTATCACAGCAAATCTTATAATCCTTGTTCAACATACAAATATAATCAACCAATCTTAATTTATATTCATAAGTTTTTATTATATATTTTTTTTTCTTTAATAACAAAGCTAATTTAGTTGAAAATTCATAATGCATGTTTAAAGGTTAATATTCTTCTAATAAGAATTTTAATTTGTTGTTCTCTGCATAATAATATTATTTTTTAATAAAGTTTATATTTCTTATTATGAATTTATCAGATAATTGTTTCTAAAAATAGTAATGTTTGATGTTGAGCTAGTCTCTTGAACATTGTTTAATATTTACTGCTATTTTAATAAACTATTTTTAATTCATATTTTCCTTAAATAAAATTTAATAAATGTAATCAATTTTTGAAAATTAATTTTAAACTCAAATCAGTTTTTTGAAATTAATCCACAAACCACAAAATGGATACTAGACATAAACAATATACATTTTTCTGACTCATGAAACAGATTAGATGTTAAAATATGTATTGTATTTCATATACAATATCTTTTAAGTAAATATTCAATTTTAATATTTATTTTCCCAAATGATATATCCAGAATGACATGCTCTTTCTTGAAAATATGCCAGCAATTTATATTATAAAAAAAATTTTGTAGCTTACCCCTGGTAATGTCTTCTGTTCGTGGAGAGCGTTCTGAGCCTTGATAGCACTTTCTCTAGCACAGTAGGTTAAAAAGGCACACCCTAAAATTCATCAAAAGAACATAACTTTCAGTAATTAATTTTATATTAAATAACTAACTAAATACAAAAAATAAAAATATTTAATTTTGTGTTTTGCTTCAGTTTGATAATTAACAAAAGTATTAAAAAATAATTATTTAAATTAATATATCAGTGTTTTTTACTTTATGTAATTATTTATCCATAACGAGAAAGTTAAGACAAATTAAAAATTAACAATTATAAAGAGATATTTATTATGTGTGAATAATGCTAATTTATGGAATATGTAAATAAAATCTCTAATCTGTGAATCATAATTATCAAACATTTAACTTTTTAAGTTTCATCTGTATAACCTTCATTTTGGAAAGTTTTAGTTACAAATGATGCCATTTTATTTTAGTAAATGGAGTCACTCAAATGATAATTTCTATTGTTAAGTCCCTTTGCCAACTTGTTATCTCAGTAAAGAAAATTACTTTATTGAAGTTGTAGATCATTAAATTCTAAATTAACATGCATAAGTTGCTAATTAAATAAAGTTATCAGATATATTTTATTTTAAAATTGTATTGTCTGTTAATTTTATTCTTTTTTCAAACAGTTATTTAAGGTTAAGAAATTTAAATTGCAGTTTTTAATTTTAATTTTTATTTTTACAGTTGATGTTAAAAAGGACAAAAATGATTATTATTATTATTTTTTGAATTATTTTATATTCATCCAATTACAGGTGCTTAGATGCCTTCCAGGGAGAGAATACTATTGTCATTTTGCCAGTATCCAGAATGAAATAAAAGGATGAATGCCAATTCTAGGGGAAATATATTTCAAAATGTTCAGTATTATTATTTCAAAAGGTATAGAATCATAGAATACTAAATATAATAATATAGATTATTATTATACTGAGTATTTACTAATAAATAATATCAGATTTTTAGTTCTAATTTTTCAGAAATCATCATATAATAAAATATTGTTTAATTTAATTCTATTTAAAAAAAAAAAAATATACAGTTTAACAGTTGAGTTATCATTAAAATGTGAAAATTAGGTAAGATTAAAAAGTGAGAGAGTTAATATATAGTGTTTATATAGATATAAAATGAGTGCTAAAAATAGACATATTTATTATTTTACCTTGAAAAAAAAATGTAAACTGTTTTTTTAAAGAAACAATTTCTTTAGAGCTTCAAGGGTAACATTAAAACGTACATAAACAACTTTTACCCATAAAAATATCAATATATCATTCTAACAGTTGACTTTTCACTTTATTAGTAAACACTTCTATATAATTAACCATTAATACTTAAAAACAAATTTCAATAATTAAAAAATAAAAAATGTATATATGAAGCATTTTTCAATATTTACATTCATANTCTATATAATTAACCATTAATACTTAAAAACAAATTTCAATAATTAAAAAATAAAAAATGTATATATGAAGCATTTTTCAATATTTACATTCATAATTTAAGCAATAAATGATATTAATTAAATAAGTAAATAAATTGAAATTATAATTAATTTCATATAAGTGCGCATTATACGTTAACATAGCTTAAAATTATACCGCAATATATAAATAAATTTAAATCGATTATAATAACTTTTTAATTATCCTTTGCATTCTCTATATAATAATAATAATCAATAATCTAATTAAGTGATTTAATATTAATTGTCATTAAATTATATTCTCCTAAAGTAGGATTATTTTTGTTATACATAATTAGACTTGCGTATACCTGAATTAAAAATAAAGCATTTGAATAAAAATTTGAAGTGTTTCGATGCGTAATTTTATATAAAAATTTTGTTTCGTCGTATATTAAATAAAAGGAAAAGCAAAGTCGATAAAAGTAATATAATCTATCAAAGATGTTACGAAAGGGTCCTGAGGCAAATCCATTTTGTAGACAGAATGCACTTATATGAAAGGAAAATATCTTAAAATAACATTAATTGAGGCGTTGCTGTTTTTTTCACCATCTCCAAAATACTGTATGATGTTTTTAGATGCAATAACGTAACGACCTTGAAGGGGGTCTACCTTTCCAATATTCTCCGAAAACTTCTCCCTCCCCAAAGGGTCAATGTAACAGCCTACCTTATAAAATTTCGCAATCTTTATAGTCTCTTTACGATACGTTTATAACACGTCGACTTTGTACTAAAATAAAAGCAATCATATAAAAAAGTTCAAAATTACGGATTTAAACACGAGAAGAAAAATAGTTACTTCTTAATTGTAACACATAATAAAGTAAAATTTATTATTTTAAAATTAAATTATATATAAAGGAAAGATATTAACTACTCTTTATTGGGTCTTTTTACAAAATAAATGTAGTAATTCAACCTCATTACAGAAGCAAATTAATGTAAGAATTCGATTAAACGATATCATCATCATCCAGATTTGTAAACAAACATAAACAGCTGATGACATATAACTTGTAATTATACATTATACCTTTTATTCCGAGAATAAGAGATCAATATCGGAGCGATTCTATTAAAGAATTAAAAGAAAGGAGGAGGGGTAAAAAAGCGCAATACTTCGAAATTCGCAAATGCAAATGACTCAATATTGAATTTTAGAGTTGTTTACAATAGTAAATTTTATTTGAAAATCTAAATGGTAGAGTGTAGGGAGATACGACATTTTTCAATGGTAGTTACAATTTCAGACATTGCAGCGTGGTGGAAAAGACCCAGACGGAAAAACCACATTAGATAAATCAAGAGAATGAAAGGTCACTAAAGCAAATTAGATCTTGCACAGCTGCCAATGTTTTTGCTTGTATCGTAAGGAAAAAACGGGCGCGAAACGAGTGCCAGAAAAGTTGTCTCTCGTAATCATCGACTACAATGAAAATTAGACTTATTTTCAATCCTACAGGTGCAACGGCGGCGAAACAACGAAGCATACGAGCTGTCGTTTCCCACGTACCACAGCGATCCGTAAAGCATTTTTATCAGCGACGGCTAAGAGTTCGTCCGGAGAACGTACGAAGAGGATTGTAAAGCACGAGTTAACACCCGCGACCTAGGAAAATTACAAGCAACGTGGATGTCCAATGTCAAAGAGGTGCGCACTGACTCGGCCAAGGTGGTGTCGGTGATTAAGTAATAGAAAAATGGTGGGACATCCCACCACGTCGCTGGAAAGTGCGGTACGAAAAAAAAAGAAGCTATGGTTGCCGTATTGATCCCCCGTCAGAGAATGAATGAACCGTTCCTTACCTTTATGCATGCCCGTGTACTTGTCTTTGAGAACCGTCAATTCGTATATCTTGCCGAATTGTTCGAATAACGGTTTCAGATCCTTCTCATCCAGATTGCGCGGTATCTGCCCGATAAACAGTTTGATGGTGTCGTGATCTTTCATCGGCACTGACTGATCGGGTGGGGACTGCGGACCGTTCTGGAGATGGACGCTTGTTTCCACCACTCCGTTGTGCAGCGTAGCCATGTTGGACAAGCACGCACCACACTATAGTCCCGTGCTTTGGCGGCCACGCGCTGTGCACGCGCAGCGCAGACTCCCCTTTTCCCGTTTCCTGATTGGTTAATGCCTTCAAACCGTTCTGTTATGAACGTGGGAAGGGATCGGGTGTGTTTCCGACTGTCCTTTTTGTTATTCGTATCTTCCCGAAAATTCACCTGCACTTCTTACAAGTGTTGAAATAACTTTGTGCGTTTTCTATTTCTGGTAACAAGATTTAATTTCTACAACACGTTGCCTTCAAAATTTTCTCGCAAAAAAAATGTTACGTATCGATTACGCTTACAAAATAAAAATCACTATTACATCACCCAAAATAGCATTTTATTTATTTGATTCTTTTTTTTTCTTATTCTCCTTTTCGATCGAGAAGGTAATCGAACTTTTTCATACTTTATAATTTACAAAAATCTTTTTTTTTAAATATATTTAAATATTGCCAAATCTAAATTTTCACGAACAATTTAATCGAAACATATTACACCATGACGAATTTTTACAAGCACCAACAGTTTCACGCATTTGTCATTAGATACATTTTATCTTTTAACTTCCTATACTTAACTTAACCTTCCAGATCCATTATTCCATCATATTAATCCGAGAATTCCACTCTTTTTGAGGAAATTACCATTTTTAGACAGAATATATTAATTTCGTTTGCTTTGATTATTATAATGAAGGAATTCTGTCTTTTTAAATTTCATTAAACTGCTATTTTGTGGTGGAAAAGATGAGATATCAGACCAGACAGCGAACTGGTTAGTGCTGCCAAACAGTCTCCAAGCATCGTCTTAAATATTGATATCTGTCATTTTTAAGACGTTTCAATGAGAAAAATCTTCGTTTGTCTGCTGATATAGCGTTTCCTTTTCATTTTTTATATTCTTTTATCTATGAAAATGAATGTTTTCAAAGGTATAAAATGTAAATTATCATTAAGGATTCTCAGTTAATTTTTCTCCGGTTTAAAACAGCTGCGTTAGAATTTCTCATTTAACATTGTTAAACTCTAATTATATATATACAGGTTATATATATACAAAATAATTATAATATACTATTTATTATATAATTAAAAAAAATGATTTATCGTGTTAAAATGAACTTCAACTTAAATTAGTGAATAAAGTTCAAACTTTAAACATTTTCTTACTTACTGAATCTTAAACAAATCGCTAATTTGCGAGAAATTAGAAAAAAATAGAAAAGAAAGGAAATTAATTACATAAAGGTACGCAAGAAAATCTAATTATTGCCAAAACGCTGAACAATCACTTTCTATTTCCGAAAGGTACTCAAGAATTAATTCGCATTTTTTCGATTTATAAACGCTTAAGAGTATGTCATACAAAATAACCATAAGCTTATTTTGTTGTCGTTTTCCAATATAACCTTAATGCGATATAAAATTTTTATATAGATACAACAAAAGACTTTTTGAAAATGCCGTCCTTTCTTCTAAAAATTCTCACTTTTCGCTAAACTGCTTTAAGTTCCCTCTTTTTTATACCTTTTTGTTAATATTCGAGTAAAGTTAACTCATTCACTACGGTAAATTTTATAAAGGTATTTATGTAAATTCTTCACTACATGATAAGACATTTGTTAAAGAATATACAATTTGTTCTAGAATGGTTTCTGAAAGTAAAATAGGAATTAAGTATCGATCTACTCATCATTTCAGAAAAGCGCTTCTCTTATGCGATTCAAAACCCATGGCATTTCACCATTGGTCTATTACTCCGAGTGATGAAAATAAATGGTTGAAGCTATTCGTTTCAAAGTCGACGGTTCTGAAGAAATCCGATTGAAGAATATTGTCCAAAATGCAACAGGGATGAATTTAGCGCTTGGTTTGACTGATACCCAGCAATACTATATTGGTCTAAATAAAAAGTTTCTTTGACACTTTGTAGTAAACATTTCAGAGAGTTTCCTTTATACTGGTTATATTTGTTATATAGATCTGTTTTTCTAAACTGGAAAGATAAAAAAAATAAATTCATAAACATCAAGCTTTTAAGCTTCGAAATTTATCTTCATTTAATATACAGTAGCAGACATGCGTTTTTAAAAGACATATTCTGTCCGCTGATAAAGTTTACATAAATTTTCTCACAATGCGACATGTGTTTGAAATATTTTTGTTTTTACTATTCCTAAGCACTCTGCGTGTTTAGTTTATCAAGGCTCTCATGCAATGTGCCCGGAATTAGACCCGTGACACAACAATATGGGGTGCAGCGATCACATAATGTTCGTGTTTGAAACTCAAATATAGACAAAGTTTTTGATTTTAAAAAATCGTTGCGCATTTTTACATTTCGATTTTTATTTTTCTATCATTCAAATTATTTTCTATTCTTATACTTTAGTTACATTAACATATCAAAAGCATTATAAAACATCGACTTTATTAGAATGTACAATACACACACACACACACAAGAAAAAGGAAAAACACGCAAATAAATGCGCTTTGATAATTTATTTCCTGTTATATATACATATATATATTATATAATATAATCAGATTTATATTCTATGCTATTTAAATTTATTAAAATCTTATGCATTTAATATTAAATTATCTAGAATATAAAATGTTTCCTGTGAGCAATTTATCGTTCTGGATTTTGATATCGTATATATTATATAGAGTCTATATATATGCATCACTCAACAAGACTTTATACTTTGCTAATTAGATTGCAATATCAATGCAAACACGCTAACGGAAATCGGTATTTTTGGCTTTTGGTGGATTTGAATAATCCAGTTATAAATCCATTAGATATACCAGTGAATAAAGAGGATCACATTCTATACTTTGAGTTATTTATCATCTGAAGTTTCTGTTATTTTGTAAAATAAATCTTTATAGTGACGTTTATGCATTTATCATTCAATACTATCGATATTCAAAATTTATGTACCGTAGGTTATATATCACTATCATTAAAAATAAATGTGTTTCTTTTTAATTCAGTATAATTTGTTTTTATCAGAAATATATTCTAGGTTAATTCTATATTATATCTATAGAAAAGATTATATGATAGCTGAAATCATTGATCATTCTATCGCACGACTTTTAAAAAAGTATAAAAGTTAGAATTCTAATCATAAAAATACATTTTGTTTTCCACAGATTTTCTTTATATAAATTTTTAAAGTAGTTTTTAATTAATTATTAATAAATAAGATAAATTTTAATTAATTATTCATAAATAAGATAAATTTTAATTAATTATTTATCATTTAAATTTAATTTCAAAATGTATTTTTAATTACAATATATAGTTTATTTTATCTTTTATCATGCTAATACAATCGGGAGAATAAGGGGGCGACTGCCCTCCCAAATACAGGCAGAACAGTGGGGAAAGTTCGAGCAAAGCATGAACAAAGAGAAAAAAAATCAGACAGAAAAAGCAAAAAATTAACAAATTATTAATGACGGCAGATTAAAAATTGGTACTTTGTCTTATATTTGTGTAAAATTTCGAGCAAATAAACCTTATATATATGCCTCATTACAGGTTTTCTTCACATGAAATGTTAATATTACATATATATTAAACTATTAATCATACTATAAAATTTAAATCATCATTTTATAATATAAGATTATATAAAAAATCGACAGAAAACTTGTTAAGTTGAATTATGAATGTAGCCTTTAAAAATACCGTTTAAGTTAAAGAATTTTTGTTTTAAAATAGAAAGCAAAAAAGTAAGTGTAAAAAATATGTCAAAAATCAAATTTTTTGTAAACAAGTCTTAAATTCTTAAAAATAAATGTATTATTTTATATTTTTTTAAAAAGCTTTTAGTATAATTATCAAAATAGTAAATTATATGCTTATAAAATAACGTCGTAAAGCCTTAATGCAAAAAGAAAAAAATCAAGAAACCAATCAATGATCGAAGAAAATAAATTTTCAGCTTTTTCTGTCAAGGGAGCAAAGATTCAATTTTTTCTTTTTCTTTTTTATTCTTTAATCTTAAATCTGAGCTATCGTTTTCGCTAAGAAAATGGAAGTTAAAGACTTTTTCACGATAGACTAGTCAAAAAGCCATCAATATTACTATCAACTGAGCTGTCCAAATAGCTGCTAAAAGAAACATTAGATATAAAACTGGTCCTACATGTAAATTGAATACCGTCAAAGAAGAGTTTGCATAAAGTTTCTAAAGACCCGTGAGGAGCAAAGTTCGGTAAGGAATCTTTAATGGTGTCGTTTCCAAGACTGTTTTTATCATTGCGGAAGTCTAGACGCATTGGTTCACAATGGCAAACGTTCTCAATGGAGTGATCAAACTCCGCAATTGCCTATAATGAGTTCTTCTTCGTTACAGATGATCTTTGTTTCTCAGAACTGTCCCATCCCAATCTTTCCTAAATCATTATTTCTTTTTCATTCTTTCAAGTCTAGACAAAAATGGAAAGAACCAATGTTTACAATTTCAACCACGTCTGTTTAAACTACTCTTATATATATTTATATATATATATAACTTATACAGTACAAAGAAACCTGTAGAAAGTGAATATATTTTATTTATATAACTTATTATTATTTTCTTTTTGTAAACAGTTTAAAAAAAGAATATTTTCAATATACTTTAAATATTCTAATATAGTTATAGTTGAATTAAATATTTTATTTTAATATGTAATTCATTTATTTTTATACGGTATTTTTATACTACTGTTTACAATCCATAAAACAAAACGGCTGATGAAAATGTCCAGAGAAGAAATTGCAAAAGGCTTAGATAAACTAATACCTGAGATCAGAGCTTTCTATAAACAATGACATACACACACACACACACACATACAAAAAATAAAAAAAAAACTATTGTTTAACTGTTCGTAGGCAAGTCAATAATATTTGCTTTCAGCAAAGCTAAACTTTGATTGCACGCTCAATCAGTACTGATTACGTTTGAAAACTTAAAAAACACAAACTCAGATAACATAATGTATAGCTATTAGTTTACATAACACGATCAATATTATATGATAATAATATAATTTATAAATCGTTACCAAATGATAAACTAACAAAATGCAGTCATTTTGTTTTTCATTTAAATTTTTTCTTCCTTCATTCATCCGCGTGTTTGTGTGAACAAAATTTAAAATGGTCAATTAAAATCTACTTTTAATACGTTACGAAAATGACATAAATATTATTATTTCCGCATTTAAAAGTGAGGGTTTTTTTTCGTTTTAAATTGAAAGCAAACTGGTAATAAATATTTCACCAAAAAAGATATGCCATAATTTTTCTAGGATTATAAAATATAGAACATTCTTGATATGATGTGAAAGTGTAAAAAAAGTAGAATAAAACGAGTTTTATTACCGATAAATTATTAAAATATTATTTTAGTGTAAGAATAAATACGATTTTCTATAAATGTAAAAAGTTCACTGAGGATATTCGGCAGTATCAAATTGGATTTTGGATACTTTATCGTTAAATTATTGACATTGTTCGTAACAGTTAGACTTTAATTATATTGAATGGTATTTATAATCCTTATAATAAATTTGTAGTAAAATGTGTCGATATATTTTAGGTAGTGTTTTTGTTAGAATGTATACCCGGCTATTGCTCTTTGCTAATGCTGCCAACTGACACAACAACCAGGTAACATATCTTTATGGTCAGCCAAAGGTCTCTAATTGTGATTGGTTGTTGTTCCAAGACACTAATTCCTTCCTAGAATAAAAGGCGATAAAACAACTAAGAGATTGTTAAAATCGATTGAAAGACAGTCGTGTTCTTTTTCGTCTTAATCCTTAAAGTGACATCTAGGTTAGTAGAATTGAGGAAGGAAAGTCATTACGGAAGGAGCGAAGTGCTTGTTGGCTTTGATGTAAATGCATATTCCTAGTATATAAACTGGTTATCTGAAGGCGACTGGCATAAAACGACTTTCCTTTAGAACCGTGAATTACTGTTTAATAACGCACTTAGTATTATACTGATTCTAAAATGAATACTCCAAAGATTTTAAGAGAAGAGAGAATGTTTAAAGGTTGAGAAAATCACACTCTAGACTTTGAGTGATTATTTGTTTTATAAGTATTTAAGATTATATACCGTGTCGATTTATTTTATCTGAGATTTTGACAGGATACGCACACGAGATATCCTCTTTATAATACGGAAATCTTCATAAACTACAATATATATGTATTCAGCACTGTTATTAAGAAAAATTATCTGTTATTCATCATACTAATGACGAAAAATTTGCATAAAAAGCTTCCAAAATTATTTTTGGCATTACAAGTGATAAAAAGAAAAGAAAAAAACAGGTTTCGTGAGAGAATAGTAGCCAACTACTGATTTTTTGGATATTTTTTAGTAAAATTTTTCTCATTTTCTGATGAAAAATGCGACTCTAAATTTAACAATATCGCTTTGAAACATTTTGACATCTAAAAAGTGGTAATTTAGTCGATTTATAACGACAATATTGCAGATTTTAAAATCGAAATTCGAGACGCATATTAACAACAAGAATTCCTCGGCCGACACTATTTGCAAGATATTCCAAAAGTAGTCATGGTAACAACAATCTAATTTCAAAACACGATTCCCGATCTCAGAGCCTTCAGACTAAACGGAATATAAATTGATGAATGAAAGAATTGTTTGTTCTACATCCAAGACAATTTCACCTTGGTTAGAAGTTTTTCTTTTTAACCGTCTCTAACCAAACTCATTTGTTTTAAAGTTTCCTGGCCTTAATGGCAAATAGATTGATTTCTTTGTAACTTAGAAAAATCGATAATAAACCAATAACAAAGACATTAATAAAACAATCTGAAAGTAGTTAAAGTTTTAAAAATATTTTATTAATAGAAAACTTTAATAGATGTAATCAAAAATTAGGAAATTTTCTAATGATTCGCGACATTTCTTTAAGGTTAATCAGTCAAAATTATTCATTGAAGAATTCAATTATTTTTCAATTATTCTCGCTAAGTGGATACAGTTTACTTAATATTTGATAGCTAAACAAAAGACTAAACACGTTTGTTAAATAAATTAAATTTATCTTAACTCGACAACTTTTCTTTTTCTTGGTCCTCCCCATTTGGTAGCGTGTAATCAATAATAGACGCCTTATGTTCTAGGAAAAAAAAATCGTATCTGCAAAGCCTAATTTGATTGAAATGAATTCTGATAGATCTTAATCTATCTAAGGACGGATCAGTGAGTCATCTAGAAAGAATGAATAGTGGCTGTCAAAAAGGTGACAGGGTTGAATCTAATATGGCTTCCCATCATTCTTTTTTTATTATTTTTTATTTTTTAATTCTATAGTATGAGACTGGTATAATTATTTCAGAATATTTCGTGGAATGTAATAAAGCTGAACAATGTGAAGAGAAAAATGTTTTTTAATCTTTCTTTTTAAAGAAATTTTTCACTCGGAAACAATCTCCTCTGTTAAATAAAAATCTTTATACAATAGGTAAAGAGGAAAAAAACAACGTATTTTTAAAATAGATTAAGAGAAAAATTTAATAGATATACTCTATAATCTTGATTATTGTAAGTTATGCAGTTAAAAATATAATAAAATAACCAAAACAAGTATGTAGAGTTGTCTAAGGTTTACGTTTAATCATCCATTTTATTGTTTCTTGGAAACATTTTAGACAATCGGTTCATTATAATAAATATAATAGACAAAATATTTGATATTAATGTATACATCTTAAAAGTTTCATTGAAATAAAACACATTTAAATTTAGGAAAGATTACATATTCGCATAAGGCTTATATAATCTTAATCCATCTTATAATGTTATATTGTAAATATATTCAAATACATTCAGTTATTTAACTCATAAGCTATTTTCGTGGAATAGAGATTTAGATTTCTTTTCCTGTATTAAGATTTACATAATTATATATTGTTATAATTCATTATTAAAGAAATCTTTGTGATTTTCCCTAAAGTCTTTATATTCAATAATGTTTATTTTACCATTTTCAAATTAAAATATTTTTTAAGAGTCCATAAATAAATCATGGAGCTGTAAATACAATATAGATTTATAATAATATAATTAAACTTCATTCTTCATTATCATTATTCTTTAAATTCATTTATAAATCACTGTTTTAATTTAAAATTTAAAAAAAAAAACGTAATATTATAATCATAAGTAGGCCTATATATCATTTTCTAACGAGTTCTTTGTGTTATCTCTATGAAAAGTCTTTTTAACAAATTGATGATTATGTTTTTGTAATAATACAGTATAAGAGCACGCCTTTTATTATGTTTTAGCATCTTAAATTATATTTTTTTTATTGTTATATAGATACAATCAACTCTTTAAGTAGCTTATAATGTATATCTATTATATAATAAGCCTATATTACAGAGTCTCGTGATGATAAAGTAGAATTCTTTGTCTTCCCACTTCGCTGATTGGATTCAACATGTCAAACGTGGTCATCCCAGCAGAAAGCTCAGCGATCTATCCCTTAGTGCTCTATTAAGGTAAAAGGCTCAATAGAAATCTATCACACAATATTAAGAAACGCCTATAAAGTAAATTTGAAATATTTAATGCATTTCTTAATTTCATAATTTAATTTATTACTATAATCGATAATAAAATTTATTCATTTCCTTTAGCAAAATAGCAATTTTTATCGTATTTAAAAACATATTATTTTTAATAAGCTATAATGTAATTAATTTATTTTTAAAAAATTATAAATTTCGAATTAAATATTTATATTTTAATTATAAAAATTGAACGAAAAATTTAATATTAATTTTATAAGATACGTAATAGCCTATATTTTCTAATATTGATAAATTGTCAATTTAAAAAAAAAATAATTCCATTATAAATTAATTAAACTTAATTCAGTTAAGCTTCGATAAAATTATGCATTTGATCGTTTATTTAAAAGATTTCGTTTATTAAAAGTGTAATAAATTTGCGTATTTTATAGAACAGATGCTGTTTTATTAGTTATATTCTGTCATAAATTTCAAGCAACTTTTCATTCGTATAAAATAAATCTATTCTTCAAATTTTAAATTGAATTTTCCTTTTGAAGTCACGCAAAACACTTTTCATAATAATAAAAAAATGTTTAAAAAAACACCTGTCTAGGAAACTGTATATCATTGACATTCAATTCGGCAGTTTCTGATTAAGATTGGAAGATATGTAAAGCAAAAATCGCAAGAAAAGATCGCGTTTCAAAAACCATACAATTCAAATATATTTGAGGCTATTTTATATATAAAAAATATAGATATATGTCGAAGAAAAAGATTAAAATAACTAAATTGGTTTTATATTTTTTGATATTTTAACTATCCTCTATTATAAAAGCATAATTTTTTCTAGTTTCCTTCAAAACATTTTATTAAAACATTATGTACTGTACTATCCCACATTATATATATATTTTTTCTATTTTTAATAAGTATAACATAGAAAAATGTACGTTCTTTATATATATATATAAAATGATAAATAAAATTCGAATTACTTGAATTTAAAATATATATTATCTAAAATAAATATCAGCTCCATCAGTTATATTAAAATTCAATAATAAAGTGAGTAATATTTTTCTAACAAACCTCTCCATCATCATTATTTATATTAAATTCATATTTGATACATGACACTTATTGCTCGCCTGTTCTCAACATGATTAACTGTATAGTCGCTTAACATATTCTATGCTCAGATTAATACGGACTGTACTTTAAAGCATTTGTTATTATATACATATATATATTTATATTTATAACATTGTTAATAAGTAAAAGTATAATAAACCTCATTTAGCAAGACGTATATAATAAACCTTGATTAAGTAAAAGTATAATATAAACTTCAAAGAAAATCACTCTTGCATAACTTAATGCAGTTTGCAATGCATTTAAATTGTTAAAGACGGCTCGTGGCTTCAGTTCACGCAGAGAGTGACCAAAACTTAAAGCTATCGACAGCTGTCCAGACAGCATCTATAAGTCAGGAGAAGTTTAATCCGACGTCATTACTGGACTTGGTCCAAATCCTCGTTTGTCCATCTTACATTATATTGGATGGCGCTCGGTTTTTTTGTCAATCGTTACCTATTTCAAACAGGAATTCTTGACGAATGCGATTTAAAACTCTGAAAGTGATTAATCAAGCAGCTTCATAAATTATTATCGTCAAATTTTAAAAAGTCTGCTTTGTTGAATAATTTCACGTGATAATAACATTACATTCAATATATGGTTAATCAGATGTCATTAGGTGACGAAGTATTTGACAATGAAACTAACAAGCAATTGTGCATTAGCGTGCTATCACGCAGGAAAGGTCTTCATGCAAGTTGAATTTACTCATAGGATAACAAAGCAGGTATATGATTATTGGCAAATATTGATGCCAAGTGATATATTCATCACATTTTTACTACGTTAAAACGATAGTTGCAGCTGTTTTAATGCTTAATTTCCACGTTTCGAGTGTGATCTGTAATTTTTGCAACTCCAAGGAATCATTTAGATATTATTTTCACTTAATCCAATTTTACTTAAAAAACAATAAAAGTTTTTCAATATAAAATGAGTTAATCGTTGGCATTTGATATTCACGCAAAGGTTTGATAAAGTTTGTTCTGCAGATTAAAGTATGACGTTGAATGCAATAATTTGCAAACTAATTAGCACTCGCTAATTGTTGAAAAGTAATCTCCTGGATTTAAACGTCATCGAGCCTTTAATTGAAGACCAGAGTTCACCTCCATTTCGTGAGCTAGTTTTTTTTTTTACTTTCTAATTTAAAATTATAAAAATGAAGCTTTGTTTAATAGATAATTATGCAATTAAGTTTATTCACAGGTTATGGCATCTTCTTAATAAATTAAGAAATTATTTATATATGAAATTAGACATTTAATTTAATTCTGAAGATTAATCATTTGATTTTTATAAAATAAATAAGAAAATATCTCCCTCGATTTTTCGACTAGATTTATTCAAATTTAAGAGAATTATTTTCCCCTTAACTAGTTCTGAATAAGTTTTCAGCAAAATAAGCAATTTTCCAAAAAGAACAAGAAGAAGAAGAAGAAAAAAAAAATACATTTAAGAGAAAATTAAACATTTTTCCCCGAAGATTTTTACTGTTTTAAGAAAACAATTTTTCGAGATGGCATATACTTTTCCGCTCTAATTTGTTTTGAAGAATTCGTTCATTGATCATTTGTAAAATGATGCCGATTATTCAACTCGCTTTATCCAGAATCTTGAAATGAGACGATCAAATTTGTTGCTGCAATTTTTGTATTTTTATCGAATATTTCTTTGAAAGTGTATCTTTGAGAGAAATTACTATTTAATGCGGTAAATCCAGAAATATGAGAGTAGTCCATATATAACCAAACAGATGAAATCAAATCGAATACATCAAAAAGTACGCACATAACATCAATGGCAAACCAAACATATCAGATAACTCGTAAAATTCTAATGGACGTCATCAATTGTCGAGAACATCTTTTCTCCTATTCTAAAAATAAAAATCGTCCAATGGCATTAATCTGTAAAAGAAAAGTTTCGGTTGTGAAATATATCTAAGTCGTGAAATAGAATATATTAATATCAAAATTTACGTTATTAACCAAGTTTTCTGAAAGAATTATCTTTCAAAAACTTGGTTAAGCAGAATTTTTGTTTTAGCTTCATATTTCTTGTTATTTTTTATGCTATGATGTGGAGTAGTAGAAAGTTTTCATGCAGCCTCCGGGCAGAAAGGAAAGAGCAAAACTAGCCACATTTAAGCGACAAAGATTGAATGTTAAAAGACCTCAGACGACCGATCGTTTATCATCGGCCCGAAATAGTTCCGACTTTGGAAAGTTCCGTAAAGAACCCTTCACTTTGATATCCCCAAGAAGTATAAGCTTTCATACATCTTTCCTTTCCACCGAGTGATGTTAATTCAGCCAAGAGATGCTCGGATAAACACAAATTTATTTATAAAAATTGATTCGATTATTTCGCTTTTAAACAGTAATAAATGAATATATTATTTAACTATTTAATTAGATTAATTAGTATGAGTAAGTTGTTTAATCTTACTTTAAGCTTATCTCCAACGACATTAAAAGATACCCGTATAGAATGACGTGGAGAAAATGGAGTATTTGTACCTGCATGGCATGTAGACACACTCTATTGCCGCCCTGACATGACTATTGACATAAGATAATAACTGTTGACATAAAATGATCTTTGATCTTTCAATTTATCAGTCGTACCGTTTGAATATAAACTCATTGATAGCATTTCAAATTTCCTGATGAATTGTCGTGCTCCAAGTGAATTCCTATCGATGATATTAAACAGATTTAAATCTCCTAGGAAATACTGGCTCTGTTTGACTTGATTAAATCAAATAGTAAATTTTAAGTGATTTAAAATTGTTTTGAAGATATACGTCAATATATAGTTTCATATAATATTGTTTTTATGTGGAATTAGTTTAAAATATTATCGATTTTTTAAGCGCAAGTGAGATTCATCCGCAAGCTCACCTTACTAATTCTTCTATGAATAAATGACATACATTTCTCATTTGCAAAAATCGATATGTAAGATCCTGTTGTTTTATACTAACAAAGGAGAGGAAAATTGACCTTACAATCAAAAATTAGATTGACCTCTAGATAATTACTATGTGATTACCTTATATCATTCGCTAGAACTAACTCATCATGGAGCTATTACATTCATTGAAGAAAAAAATAAAAAAGTCTTCAAATCAATCCTATCATGCACTGTTTCGTGATAATTTACAATTAAGTAAAATTAAAAAATTCTACAATAATGAACATTTTCGTAGTTGAGGCAGTTATAATTTTTAATCTAGTTTGCCCGTCACGTTCGAATTTGTAATAATTTTTTCTTTTATTGTTTCATTCATTCTTTCGACGTTAAATGACAGAAATCTATTTTTCCATGTAAGGAAACAATGTAATCTGTAAATCGTGCCTGCAGGAGTATTTTATATTCATCGCTTCTATGTATGCGTTCTCCAATGCTTCATTTAATCGAGTTTGTTTCCGCCAGGCATACTGTCGATAGGAACAGCAAAGTAACGTTGTCATTGTCCTCTTTCTGTACGCAGTGTCCGGAAGGTCTCATAAACTAAGACTCCGTTTGCCAAGCAGAAACTAAACCTTTTCCAGCCTTCTACCTTTCATTGGTAGAGATCTAGCAATAACGACGGGCTTTCTGCCAATTTCTTGGGCCATTGTCTAAATTTCATGCCTTAGTTTTATGTCTTAGGTTCACTTGCTTTCTGCTACTCGTTCCTTTTGAATTCCTTAAATGCTTTCTGTTAGCTGGATTTGCGAGGATAGACGTAGAAATATGACAGCTACTGTTTAGAATTTTTGATAAGAATATTTATTCCGTTTTACAAAAACTCAAACCTTTAGGCTTTTTAAAGTGCACCGGAGGCAGATTTGTTGCGGTTTCAATTTATGCTCTTTATAACTTTCGAAGCTGACTTAAACTCGCTATTTTGTCGTATCGTATAATTTATTAAAGCATGAATTTGAAAACAAATATTAAATATGAATTTAGTATAACTTTTTTACATATATTTTCATGCGAAAATCTTTTTTTGTTTCCGGATAATGAACGATAAATCATCATATAAATGTAAACGGATTATAACATCTTTTAAAGTAGGAAAAAATTTCAAAACTTCAGAACAAAATGATAAATTTTAAACTCTTTTCATTCTTTCAAATCATTCATACTGAAATTATGCATGAAATAAATCTAAAATGTAACAAATAAGGTTGGGTGAATTACAGAAATAAAATAATTGTAATTGTAATTTTAGCATTTCTGTTGTAAAAGTTCTAAATCATTCGAAGTGATGGAATTAAGAATCACATTGTCTGAAGTCTTTTATTTAAATATTTAATTATCAAACAATGTTCGGGTTGTTTAAATTAGTGAATAAATTTACCCAAAATCCTTATATTGTTGAATGAGAATAATTGTTAAAGGTTAGACAAACTGATTACTTCCAACTAAAAGTACGAGGATGTAGAGTATAGAAAAGAGCCAATTATTGTGCAAAGCTAATCTCTAGTACTTTTAATTGAGAAAGAGCAGTTGGGGATTACAAGGCGGTTTATTGTTAGCCTTGATTGCCGAATAGAACAATGTAATAAAATGCAACTAACTTGTAAGTCCATTGTATTGTTTTCTTACGTTATTCGAAAAATGACCATTAAATATATTCATTTTTCAATCAAAAAGAATGATTAGTAAAAGTAAGAAAAATCTTTTAATTTCGCATACTTTAAATACGTCTTCTTAATTTTACTCTAAATGAATTTCATTAATTTTAACAGCGCAACCGTAATAAATTACGTTTCAATGTTATTTTACCCTTTAGGTCTGGAGAAATTTTTGAAATTATTTGCATTTCAAATTATATATATTTATATGTATATCTACGACAGAAAAATTATATAAGTATATGTATAAAATTTTAACTCTATTAATTATTTAAAGATAAATTTGACAGTTTTTAATTAAATATCTCCAACTGAAAAGAGGGAGAAAGGAAATAAAATTTTATTGTTTGAGTTTATATTTTGATACAATTATAACGGTTGAATTGAAAAANAAATTGTGTTTTACATTCTTAACATAATCATTTTCTAATTTAATTTCCGTTTGAAACGAATTAAAACAAAGATATATTACATTTTTATTCATAAATTTCGTATTAAAACATATAAAACTGTTTAAAAAATTGTAATTTTTAATTACTTCTCGTTTCTTAATTGTTTAATAAAACAATTAACGAATGAATAAACGAATTATATCTTTTTAAAAATTTAAATTTATATTATATAAAGAGGAAACGAATAAAAAAAATGTAAAAAATAAAAAAGAAATTCTTATAAATAATACAATTCTGTTTGTGATTATATCATTTCCTCCATTGGATTTTTGTATCACGAGAATACACGAAATCGAATCTCACTTATCATTCACTCAATTTTTGTCTTTTCAGTTTTCGTGCTGCTGAATGACTACAGAAGCGTGATATGAATTGTGATATGATCATGAAAAGCATGTCAACATTTATAGGATAGTGTCAGAAAGATGAATAAAAATCGAAGAGTTCAATACATTCATGAATTTAGAAAAGTAAAACGTCATCTGGGATGAACGATTCAAACTATGAAATGTGGACAGAATTTCTGACAATTTTATCTTTATTTTTCTTTATTCTTTTAAAGGATTATTTAACCTTTATATAAACCAAACAGGATTTTTATTTATTAATTGTTTCGTTGCTGACATTTATAGAAATTTTAAGGCAATATATCAAAGAAATGAATTATTTATATTTATCAATATAGAAGTTTTAAACCATTTTTCATGGTTTATAGCAGTAAATCTAAACTAATAATAAGCGCATCACAATTTTATAAAGTTTTGACAAATTATCAGATTGTTATATCTCTTCAAGATATAAAAGAGAAACATAAATTTTTTCCCAAGAAAATAAGATTAGAGTTGTTAAAATACCCAAGAAAAAATCATATTTTATCAAGATAAATTTTTTCTTTATTGTTTTTATGAGAATCTTCTTATCGTGTTTTATATATACAGCATATAAAAAGAATTATTTTTGTTTACGTTTAATAAATTGTACATCATTAAAATGCACTTCTTAATTATATTATAAATATTTATGGCTTAATAAATATATAATTTATTATTTTGCTTCCGTTATTATAAGAATAAAAAATAAAATGTTTGATGTATTTACTGCAGCTTCAGTGAATAGTAAAATAATTATAGTTATTTGTATTTGTAACTATACAAAAATGTAATTACATTCATCATTCCGGGAGAATTTTTCATATCAAGCTGTGTACAGTAGACTTACGAAAAACATTCATCTTTGGAGAAATAACCAATATATGATTATGAAACTAACGTATTATGTAAATTTAAAAGTATAAAAATCTATATAAAAACTTTAAAAATAGCCACAGGAAAGAAAGAAAAAATTCTTCAAGAAGAAAGAATCGTTTTTTTTTTCTTTTTCCTTTGGTTAAATCTTTGCTCACATCCTCTTTCCTTAATATAAATTATTTATTCAGCTTTTGCCTTCTCAACAGTTTTTAAGTATAGTTTTTTTTAATAGACTCATGTTTTCTTAAGAAGTTTTTTAATCTGAGAATATTTCTGTATTCTACAGCAGTGTGTCTAGATTTTGAAAATCTACCTGTACTCACTGCAATTACATTTATCCAGAATATTTTCAAACTTTCTTGCTTAAATTCTTTTATAGCGAGTATAAACTTATATATTCTTAATTATATGATTTTCTTCTGAAACAAATGATTGTTTTCTTATGCTGTAGAGAAGCAAAATAATACAAATGATTATTTTTCGAGAAAAATAGCTGACTTGAAAAAATACATTTTGTCGTGTAATTTAGAAAATGAAAAATCTAATTGTACGAAATAAAATATATATTTATATCAATACTTATTTAAGAATAAAACAATCGTCGATTTATAATTAAAATGTATATATAAACATTATTATGCATACTTCTGTCAGTTTTAGTTTTATATCTTAATAAGAAAGAAGATTATATTCTGAATTTTTGTTAATTATAGGTGTATAGAAGATGAATTGTAATTATCATGTAATTAACAGTGACAGAAACTTGTCCCAGATTTCAGCCAATGAAAATGAATACATCAAATATTTAATTTCTATTTTAATTTGGATTTCTTAGAGTTTTCCGCTATTTTTCTTGATTGTTTAATTGATTGTATTTTTGATCGTTTGCTTAATTGATTGTTTCTGTTTTGTTCGTAATTTCTATTTAATGTGAGTAAATGCCTCATTTTCCACTGTTTTTCTTAGACTTGTGTTCAGATTGCATTCTTATTTTCCCCTGGAGACAGATGTCACGCCCGCAATTTGGGTGGGTTTTACTAGGATCCATTTTGTGCCACAGATTGGTTCATTATTTGTGCCACAGATAGTGATGAAATCTCTTCGTTTACTAATGAGGAGTGGAACGTTTTACCTTATTTATTGCTTGGAAATGTTATAAAACATTGTATAATTATTAATTCTAATAAATTTATAAAAAGATGAATCGAAACTGTATAAAGTTTTAAACTTTTAAAGTTTTTTAAAGCAATTTTAAATATCGGAATTTTTATGATAGCTATTTAAAAAAGATAGATAAATTAAGATTATAAACTGCTTCTTTCTTTATGAAGAAATTTATTAGTTTTTGTTGGAAAACAATTCGGTAAATCTCTTAGACCAGTTTTCCAACTATCATCAATAGAATTACAAGTTCATCTAGAAAAAATATATGTTCTTTGGCAACATAAGTAATAACGTTTCTGAACAGTTTGTCTTAAGAGATTCTATTACTGCTGATACTTAACTGCATCATTAGAGAAAACACTTTGTTCTGCAATATTGTAGGCAGGAAGAATCTTTCTTAACTAATGAAAGATAGATGATTCTTTAAAGAATGAGGCTATATATAATGTGGGCAATAATTCTATCTTCTTTTTCCAGCGTTTATATTAATATTTTTAATAAATTACTGAAAAGTAGAAANTATAAAATGATAAATAAAATTCGAATTACTTGAATTTAAAATATATATTATCTAAAATAAATATCAGCTCCATCAGTTATATTAAAATTCAATAATAAAGTGAGTAATATTTTTCTAACAAACCTCTCCATCATCATTATTTATATTAAATTCATATTTGATACATGACACTTATTGCTCGCCTGTTCTCAACATGATTAACTGTATAGTCGCTTAACATATTCTATGCTCAGATTAATACGGACTGTACTTTAAAGCATTTGTTATTATATACATATATATATTTATATTTATAACATTGTTAATAAGTAAAAGTATAATAAACCTCATTTAGCAAGACGTATATAATAAACCTTGATTAAGTAAAAGTATAATATAAACTTCAAAGAAAATCACTCTTGCATAACTTAATGCAGTTTGCAATGCATTTAAATTGTTAAAGACGGCTCGTGGCTTCAGTTCACGCAGAGAGTGACCAAAACTTAAAGCTATCGACAGCTGTCCAGACAGCATCTATAAGTCAGGAGAAGTTTAATCCGACGTCATTACTGGACTTGGTCCAAATCCTCGTTTGTCCATCTTACATTATATTGGATGGCGCTCGGTTTTTTTGTCAATCGTTACCTATTTCAAACAGGAATTCTTGACGAATGCGATTTAAAACTCTGAAAGTGATTAATCAAGCAGCTTCATAAATTATTATCGTCAAATTTTAAAAAGTCTGCTTTGTTGAATAATTTCACGTGATAATAACATTACATTCAATATATGGTTAATCAGATGTCATTAGGTGACGAAGTATTTGACAATGAAACTAACAAGCAATTGTGCATTAGCGTGCTATCACGCAGGAAAGGTCTTCATGCAAGTTGAATTTACTCATAGGATAACAAAGCAGGTATATGATTATTGGCAAATATTGATGCCAAGTGATATATTCATCACATTTTTACTACGTTAAAACGATAGTTGCAGCTGTTTTAATGCTTAATTTCCACGTTTCGAGTGTGATCTGTAATTTTTGCAACTCCAAGGAATCATTTAGATATTATTTTCACTTAATCCAATTTTACTTAAAAAACAATAAAAGTTTTTCAATATAAAATGAGTTAATCGTTGGCATTTGATATTCACGCAAAGGTTTGATAAAGTTTGTTCTGCAGATTAAAGTATGACGTTGAATGCAATAATTTGCAAACTAATTAGCACTCGCTAATTGTTGAAAAGTAATCTCCTGGATTTAAACGTCATCGAGCCTTTAATTGAAGACCAGAGTTCACCTCCATTTCGTGAGCTAGTTTTTTTTTTTACTTTCTAATTTAAAATTATAAAAATGAAGCTTTGTTTAATAGATAATTATGCAATTAAGTTTATTCACAGGTTATGGCATCTTCTTAATAAATTAAGAAATTATTTATATATGAAATTAGACATTTAATTTAATTCTGAAGATTAATCATTTGATTTTTATAAAATAAATAAGAAAATATCTCCCTCGATTTTTCGACTAGATTTATTCAAATTTAAGAGAATTATTTTCCCCTTAACTAGTTCTGAATAAGTTTTCAGCAAAATAAGCAATTTTCCAAAAAGAACAAGAAGAAGAAGAAGAAAAAAAAAATACATTTAAGAGAAAATTAAACATTTTTCCCCGAAGATTTTTACTGTTTTAAGAAAACAATTTTTCGAGATGGCATATACTTTTCCGCTCTAATTTGTTTTGAAGAATTCGTTCATTGATCATTTGTAAAATGATGCCGATTATTCAACTCGCTTTATCCAGAATCTTGAAATGAGACGATCAAATTTGTTGCTGCAATTTTTGTATTTTTATCGAATATTTCTTTGAAAGTGTATCTTTGAGAGAAATTACTATTTAATGCGGTAAATCCAGAAATATGAGAGTAGTCCATATATAACCAAACAGATGAAATCAAATCGAATACATCAAAAAGTACGCACATAACATCAATGGCAAACCAAACATATCAGATAACTCGTAAAATTCTAATGGACGTCATCAATTGTCGAGAACATCTTTTCTCCTATTCTAAAAATAAAAATCGTCCAATGGCATTAATCTGTAAAAGAAAAGTTTCGGTTGTGAAATATATCTAAGTCGTGAAATAGAATATATTAATATCAAAATTTACGTTATTAACCAAGTTTTCTGAAAGAATTATCTTTCAAAAACTTGGTTAAGCAGAATTTTTGTTTTAGCTTCATATTTCTTGTTATTTTTTATGCTATGATGTGGAGTAGTAGAAAGTTTTCATGCAGCCTCCGGGCAGAAAGGAAAGAGCAAAACTAGCCACATTTAAGCGACAAAGATTGAATGTTAAAAGACCTCAGACGACCGATCGTTTATCATCGGCCCGAAATAGTTCCGACTTTGGAAAGTTCCGTAAAGAACCCTTCACTTTGATATCCCCAAGAAGTATAAGCTTTCATACATCTTTCCTTTCCACCGAGTGATGTTAATTCAGCCAAGAGATGCTCGGATAAACACAAATTTATTTATAAAAATTGATTCGATTATTTCGCTTTTAAACAGTAATAAATGAATATATTATTTAACTATTTAATTAGATTAATTAGTATGAGTAAGTTGTTTAATCTTACTTTAAGCTTATCTCCAACGACATTAAAAGATACCCGTATAGAATGACGTGGAGAAAATGGAGTATTTGTACCTGCATGGCATGTAGACACACTCTATTGCCGCCCTGACATGACTATTGACATAAGATAATAACTGTTGACATAAAATGATCTTTGATCTTTCAATTTATCAGTCGTACCGTTTGAATATAAACTCATTGATAGCATTTCAAATTTCCTGATGAATTGTCGTGCTCCAAGTGAATTCCTATCGATGATATTAAACAGATTTAAATCTCCTAGGAAATACTGGCTCTGTTT